AATAATTTATGATCTGCAGGCAGCAGATTTATCCCTGTCAATTCCTTTTAGTGCTAGTAGCTATGCTAACGTTAGTTGTCGTTACTAACATGATAACAGTATGTTTATGTGTACTGACACATTAATGATTTCTGTTAATGATGAAGTAAACACAACGTTTATCAGACAACCTAGTATTCACCTTCGTCATAGCTTATCCACTATATTTTGAATTTAATTGTCAATACTTTGTTTAGTGATATCTATTTGGAGCTCTTTGATGTTTCGGGAGCTTAGCTAGCTATATCCTTAAAATGACAGATTGCGGTCAGGCCTTAATCGGACTGGCTAGCTAGCAAGCTAACAGTAACAGGCTATCATTAGCTTTGAACTGCAACAAAACTCGTCTGTACCTTTCTCAAAACAGCTGAATTCGACGGATACATTCAGTCTACGCTGTCTTTACCTGACGATATTAACGTTAGGAAATATTTACAGCGTTCAGACCGCAATTTCAAGCAAAACCATTTACTTTTCGCGTTATTTTCCGCACTGACTGGGGCCTGCTGTGCTCCCCAGAAGCCTGAACTAGAGTGTCCATTTTAATCTTATTTGCTGCTAGCAAGCTAGCAGGCTACAGTTAGCTAACAAGTACCTGATAGGGCTGAGAATCTCTTCGGTCGCACCTGCAAATATAAAGAAACACAAGTGTGAATACGAAGCTTCAAATGTCAACGTGGAGAAACAGTGCAAAGTGCTGCAACAGCTGAACGTCTAAGTTTCCAGACACTTATTTTGGTTTCAGTAAAAATGGCGGATTGTCAAAGCGTAGCTACGAGGAAAAGGAAAATCTGAACAAGTAACGTTAAAAAAAAAGATGTTTACCCATCGCCGAGTCTCGGTTGTTTCCTTGCATACATTACCATCAATGCCGTGTTAGTGTGTTTGGAGTGGGATGTGAAAGACTGATAACGGTACTGTGTTTTTCTTGTTGATTCAGCGACCTAAAAATCGTCAATTATTTCAGCCTAGCTTGGGTATTTCAATGCTATCGGCAGCACTGGTCGAAAGAGCGCCCTCACTCAGTCCATTTCCCACTCAGACACACAGCCGTGTCTCTATCTGCACAGAAAACGTAGCAGTGGAGCTGCGCGCAGGGTTGCCAGATATTAGACACCAACCGGTAAAGGGAAAGCCTTTATAAGTCAGCGGTAGCTAAGAAAAGTATCATGTAATCATGTTATGCAATGTAGCCAACATTAGGTGCTTCTGCTTATTATCTATATATAAGTATATAGTCTTATTTTCATTCCCTTACTACTATTACTTACTACCATTTTAGCACGGCTGCCAAATACACACGTAGATTGCAGCACACACACAAAAAACACCGAAGAAGTGTGGCATCGAAATCCTCCAGTGTCCGTTTCGTGTGTCAGGATTCTGACTTTACCCATAATTATTCTCAGAAGTTGATTAGTTAGGAAACAGCCATCAAATAGATTAACAGATATAAGTATTGTACAAAACTGGCAACCCAGCAGAAACCCCCATTCTCCACCTCCCCCTTCCGACGGCAACATCCGGGACACACGCTGGCTATAGCGGAGCAGTGTCAAAACTTGTAAATCTTTTTGTTTGTGCGCTTGAGTTGGGTGGATTTTAATTTTATATCCAAAATTATATTGTGAGCTATTCGAAAAAAATATTTATGTTTTTTATTTGCTGTAGATTTAAGGTTTTATAAGCTAGTGAGTGCACAGAGCAGGCCGTGACTTGTTCTCTCCTGACATCTAGTGGTCATACTGTGACATCGCAAGCAATCGTCATAACAGTAATTCAATTCAATATAACTTTATTTAGTAAGGAAATTATTGTGCCAGCGAATGCCTCCGTTACAGTAACATAAAATACAGTAACAACAGTTAACATTCACTAAAGAAAACAGTAACAACCAGTGTGTTTCCTGGGTCAGCGTCACAGGCAATGGAGTATTAAATATCAGTCAAAAAACATTAAAATATACAAGATATAAAGTAAACCAGTGCCTAAAAGAGTAACATAAGGGTAACATAAGTACAAGAGTTACTAAAAATTAACTAAAATGGAGGAATAATTGCAGACTGCTCCTGATAATCAGTGTTATACTGTGTATGATATGACCATGACAAGATACGTGTCATCTTGGACAATGTCTCCCACAGACTTTGTGATGTGCTGGTCAGACACAGGAGCACATTCAGTGACAGACTCATTCCCCCAAGATGCACCACAGAGCGAGAGAGAGAGATTATCTACTGGGTGCAGAAGTACAACTGGCGCAGTATTCTGTGTAATTATTCACATTTACAGCCTCAGCACAGTGATGATATACATTTTTTTCAATATTTTAATTTTATATCTTAAGTATTAGTGTTGAACACTGTAGTATAATGCACATTTCTTTTACTTTAAGGCACATTTTATTTCTACTTTATTGCTTTATATCAACACACTTTTGTTTCATACTCTTATTCTTACTTCTTATAATTCTCTTTTCTTTACATAGTTTTCCTCGGGGGTCAATAACGTGTTTCTGATTCCGATTCTGAATGAGAAGTTAAGAAAAAGATTTTGCAAAGTAACATTGCACAAAATGTTGAGAAACATAGCACAAGGTATTGAAAAGTAGCATTGTACATCATGTAACAGTAATAGTGCACTTAATATTGGTGAATATTGTGGTCAGTGTCATTTGTTGCAGCTTTCTTCCCTACAGAAGGAGGAGGGGTTATATAGTTTGATTTCTGCAGGTAGAAAAGATCTCCTGTGGCAGCCTGTGGTGAGTGGCAGGCTGCATATGCTCCAATTAATAGTTCTACACAGTCAGTATAGTACATGGTACAATAAATGTCAAAGAGGCTATGCATACAAACAGTAATAAGAGTATAGAGGGCGTGTATACAAACATCACAACAATGCCATTAAACATATAAATATATCCTAATCATTACAGAGTGCCACAAACCCCACAGTCCCCTGAGAAGCCTCCCCAGGACTATAATCATCATTTGCAAGTCTAAACTTGGGCCGTTGAGTAGTGTGTGCACGCAGAGGAGTCTCTTCACAGGTTGTGGCTTTGAGCAGGTTGTATTGATGGTTCAGAGTGAGTGTCTGTCAGAAGAGGGCTGCTGAGCTCCATTGTTCCCACACAATATACCCCACATCATATCCCAGGCGGAGGACAAAAGAAGCTGCGGTTCAGCGTTTTGGCTCACAACACACTTTAATGTGGGGACAAGGGAGCACAAAAGGGGGGTGCTTCTATTGTTGGCACAATTCTGGAACTTGTTCACACACACACACACACACACACACACAGTTTTTTTTTTTATTGTGAGTCTGAATCATAAGTCTGTATGCTCAGTCTTACAATGATATAAGCTGCTTTCTGTGTTTATATGTCCACTTATTTGTTTTCTGTGTTAAATTAAAGCAACATGTTTGCAGTGAAATGCTTTGTTGCCCCCTCCAGTACCGTGCTTGCATTATTTATACATATGAAATGTGAAATAATAAATAAATTGCAGATATTAAATGTGATGCAGTGTCAGATACACTTAAGATACATTGGTCTGACCTCAGTTATTTTAAGACACATTATTTATTTATTTTTTTCTTGTAGGAGAATCAACGTTCACCTCTGAACAAAGTGTCATCTTTGACTACTTGTTGCATCATGTCTTCAGTTGACCTGTAGGGGGAGGTATTGAACAACTTTTCTCTACATCTTTTATTAAAGCAGCACAACTCACCCAAGTGATACCCACTGGCATAAACTGACCCCTCCTAAAGAAGATAAAAATAATAATAATTATTATTATTACAGCCCCTGATTTTAAACAGAACTTATATTTGCATGTGCATATGAGTTTGAGTATCTGGCAAACCGAAACTCATCTATATCTGCTCCCCACTTGAAAAATCAGTTAACATCTACAAATAATTTATGATAATATTTTTTTTAATATATTTAGTTTTTTTATGAATCCATGTATTATGTATAATTTAATGTTTTGTCCTGATGGGTTTTATTTATGTTTTAATATATTTACGTTTTTTTTTTTGTTATTATAACTTTTTAATATTATTATTTTAATTATGTATTATATACATTTAATTTAATTAATTTAAATAATATTATTTAAATATTTAAATACTACTACTAATACTAATAATAATTATTATTATTAACAGTAATAATGATAATAATAATAAAACTGTCAAGTTTACTTAATTCCAACTAATAAAAATACAACTGAATAAATGATTGCCTTAATATATAAAAACTGACAAAACATGATATAAAATATAAAATATATCTAATAAAAAAATAAAAACAAACGCACAAAATATTTAAAAAAAAATATATACATAATAAAATTAAAAAAAATATTTGTAGATGTCAACTGATTTTACAAGTGGATAGCAGATATATATTAGCAAGGGTTTGACAGATACTCCAACTAATATACACGTGCAATTATAAATGCTGTTAAAATTAGGGTCTGACCAAACATACATGAAATAAAAAAAATCATATTTATTTGACTCAGATTTAACTGATACTGTTTGGCCCATTTGCACTGATTTAATTGAAGGCAAGAAGTCTGTATTTTAGGGGGAAAAATCACATTTGTCGCCCTTTTTGTTTTGTGACTTGCAGTTTCCTATAAATGTATTAATATATGTCTATAAACATTATTTCTCAAAGCATTACGCTGTCCAAGTGCGATTGTTTTGTTTTCTCCTGTCTTTACGAGCGCTAGCTGATGATTGAAAACACCACCAGCCAATTAAAACACAGAAGCGAATCACAGACCACGCCCTAATCGAACACCGACCAATGAGCGAACAGAGTGGGCGGTCCCTGCGATGAAATCCCTGTATGGCGCAGATCTCAGATCAGTTTGCCGCTGTCACACACCCACCCGCTACCGTTGTGTCCAAACAAACAAACCGTCTCCGAGTCAGCGCCTTCACGGAGCACTTTATCTGTCTTGGAGAGTGGCGGAGCCGAGGCGTAACATTTTGAAAGGTTGTGTCCAGTAAATAAGCCACAGAAAGCGGGCATGAGTTAAGGTGGTTTACAGGAACAAATCTCGGTTTCTTCAGCGGAAGATAAAACAACTGGAAAGTTTTGTTTCCGGAGGAACCGTTGGAATATTGAGAGCAGCAAGGAACCATTCAACTCCGACCTCATATGCAAAGTGAGTACCAACATATTGTAGCTACAAACTTACGTTATCGTCAAAAATGTCGAGCGAATTAAAACAAAAGGCGGTACGAATTTTGGTGTGAAAGTAGCCGAATATATCGTTGTGGCGAAATGGTAAATACAGGCGATGTAGCTGTAACACAAGCAGCTGCTCACCTTATGACAGAGCTACTACACTTGGTTTGTGTGGTGCTGAGGGGCTCGTCAAGTAACCTAGCAGCCAACTTCTGTTATTGCTAACCTGTAACGTTAGCTAGGTGTGTAACAGCCTACAAAAGTACTAGCCTTTGCTGTATGTGCTATAACAGTTCACGACACCTCACCCAAAGCTTTCATTGAGAATTAAAGCACACCCAAGTGTCTAATTCGTCACTAAAATGACTCTTTATTTACATGAAATTTCACCTGACATCTTGAGAAGTGTTTTCCGTGGGGCAGTGAACGCACCATAATGTTAGGAATTACAATGATAAGCTGTTATAGTGGAGGAGCCTGTCATTACAGCCCAGGAAACAAAAGGAAACAATACTCTAGGTATGGTAACACACACACACAGAAACCATAATGACAAAATCTCCTCGTGTCACAACCCTCAACTTCCACACAACACAACACACCCAAACCCTAAACGCACGGAGTTCCTCCTCCTCCTCAGGAAGTACAGCGTGCCATGTCGCATGGCCGCAGGGAATACAGAGCCCTTTGGCCCCGCGGAGCCAAGTGTGGTGACACGGAGCTTGTCACGGGCTGACAGCGCCAACAGCCCACTGAGAGGCTCAGCACTTGGCCAGCTCCCATCATGTCCCGATTCAGCCATTTGTTGTGCATACTTCAAATTTGTATGAAGGGAACAATGTGTTTTTGTCTTACACCATTATTGCTTGAGAGTATGCCATGATATGAATGAGCCCTTGTCACATGATATAGGACCCTTGTGCATCTTCACTCTAATATGAAAATGCCTCATAACCCTCTCAGAAGCTATGATATCATCTGCTTCTTGATGTGGTGAAAATCCACAGAGATCCAAGATGTCAGTTGCAGTTTTCTTCAAAAAATGGAAATGCTATTATTTTGCATTCCACTGAGTCATTTGTTCCCCTCCACAGTGTCTGCATACTTCTCCAGTGCACGCATGGTCATCGTTCAGCAGTAGTGCAGTGCTTGAGGCTCAGGCACAGGGAAAAAGTTAAAAGGGAACTGCGGCCAGTTTCAAAATTCATGCATGGTATTCCATCAGAGACAGTCTACAAATATTAGCAAACATGAATAACTTTCTCCTAAATCCACAACTAGAGAACTAAAACTCTAAATTTGGAAAGATACTTTCGATGACACTGAGAGCACACTGGGTCTGCACTGCTCTGAGTATATGGGTACATTTTCTGTTTCATAACTGAGAGTGCAGCAAATTCATATGCGTATACAAAAGAAAACAGACACTCTGTGGCTCCACAAAATCTAGCTCTCATTCACTGTCAATGGAGCAGCTCCAGACTTTATACTCTAGGACAGGGGTAGGCAACCTGTGGCCTGAGCCTCATGCAGCTCTATGCTCCTCTTCCGTGGCTTCCTGTGGCTTTGACTGAAAATTATATGTAAATGAACAACTGTTTCTTTATTGATATTTTTATTTGTTTTGTTAGCCTAAAGTGATTCTTACATTCTTCAGCTGTCAAAATGTGTATCCAAAACACAGATTTAAAAAAAATGTTTTAATATTTTGTCAACTAAAACATGCGTCTTGATGCTCCCTATCTAGGCTCTGTGGATTCTAAATCCAGAAAAGCAAAAGTCTCAGGGGAATATAGAGAATTAGATAGTGCATAGACAAATCTGTTTGCTTTCATTGGCAATGCTGAAAAGTTAAAGTACCAAATAATCAAAAAAAAAGCTCACTGCAGACCAGCCACCTTGAGCTTAAACATAAGCCCCTTTTACATTGCCAGATTTTTGGCAAATGTTGGGCCGTTTTGCCGGCAAGCTGCAAGCGTTTAGACACACAGAGCCGGAATGGCGAGTTGATCCGAGGTACCCAATTTTCCGCCTCGTAGCGTAGCCATATTGGTGGAACCCTTTTTGGTTTAAAAAGAGCGAGGCGTCCTTTCGCCACGAGAGGGGCTGTTTATGACTTGTGGGAGGAGCTGTTGATGACGCACTGGCGGTGGACTAACAGGAAACAGCTGATAGCAGGAATTAGCGAGCAGCTAGTAGCAAGAGGGAAACACAAACCTGACAGACACTGTACAGATGAGTAACTGGGGAGACAAAGAATTGCGCGCCCTCCTTGTCCTCGCAAATGAAGAGGCCATTAACCATCAGATGACGGGGACGATGAAGGATGGGGCAACTTACGAGAGACTCGCCGAAGGACTGACCAGCCACATCACTGTTTACGTCACACGCTGAGCTACACATTTTGTTACTTGCTCACGCCCCCCATTGCCCCGGAAAAGGCGCATTCTCTATAAACAAAAGTAGGCAGGCAGCATTTCGCTGCACTCCCCGATTTTGTTTTTATACTGCCAATGCTGAAAGAAGACTGATTGGGCTTTCCTGCAAATTTGCATAATTCCTGCTCATTTAGATCTGTTAGTAACATTAATAGGCTGTCTTTTTTGGCCAAAAATTGCTCTTTTGATGGTAAAGGTTGCTGACCCCTGCCCCAGGGCACCACAAGTTTTGGAACACCTTCTTGTGTTCCTGGCTTTTACAGAGAGTAGTTCATGTTCACAAACATTGATATAACTTTCCTAGGCAATGGAAATAACATCTTCCTTAATTTAGGTGGTGTTCCCCTTTAATTCAAAGGTTAAACCACTTTGTAACCAAGGTTAGAGGAGCATCTTTACAGCTAAAACGAATGAAACTAAGAAACTGCAGAGCTGCATGTTGGTTTAAAACATTCCTATTAGATCTGTGTCTACATTCATTAATTTGAAACCTCACTGCTTGCCCACCAGGTACAGTGTCTGCATCATGTACTATCATTCATCAGCATTGTTTCTTGTTTGTCTCCTCATCACTGTTATGGTGCTCTGTCTGTGAGAAAAAGAGAAACACAGAGACAATGACCTCCCTTTCCTCCTTTACTTGTGTTTGAATGCAACTGAGGGGACTCTCTAGAGAGCCGACATTTCTCTGTGTAAACTCTGAAACCTCAATGGCTTGTCTGCAGTTTTGGCCAGCTCCTCTGCTCTCACTGGGAGTAGCCTAGTTCTTCTTTTAAATCTTGTCTAAAAAAAGGTGGGAGGCCTTTAGTCTGTATTCCAGCTGGGCAGGGGGACTCTCCCAGGAGACTTTGATTATACGTATTTCAGTCCAGTTCATTACTGTGGCTTGTACTGTTTATGAGGTCAGTGGCATAGCATCATGACAAGTATGTGATGGCTTTATTGTGCCTCTGCTTCACACGGTAAATTGGCTCAGACTGTTTAATGAAATTATTGAAGGCATCATTTATGCCTGCAAGGTTTGCCACCTGGAAATAGTCTTGGCTTGCATGTGTGAGTGCCTGTGACCTGAAAACAGATGCTTGATCCTTGATTGTGGTGCCCACAATGCTGGAGAGTGTACAGAGCCTAGGCACCCGAGGTCAGGGTGGGGTCGGATGCAGTGGCTCAGACAAGGCCCAGCGTAGGAGGCTTTGCCCAGTGTTGGTTGTCTGAACAGGTGTCTCCGAGCTGAAGCTCTGCATAGCTCACATTCCCAGGGTTTTGTTCCTGGCGTGGAGGGTCACCAAGTCGGGGGAGGGAGGTGTGGGAACTGAGAATGCTATGTGCTCAAGGCTCAACTCCCAGAATTCATCCAAGCAACCTGCTGATTGAGACAAACGCTTCCTGTCATTGCAACAGCGCAGCTTGTGTTGATGAGAAACCTGTCAGCAGCCCATTGCGCCGTTTGTGGCCACGGACAAAGCCAAGAGTTGGCTTCCATAACTGCTTGTCAGCGGCGAGGCTATTTTGTTGGGGCTTAGGGATGGGTAGGATATAGTGGTTTTAAGACTCTTAATCCAAGCATTAGTTTGGATCACTATCAGCTCGCTCAGAATCACAGGAAATTGCCTTGTCTGAAGACAAGTGTTGTGATTTTAAACCTCACTGTTTATATCCCTCACCTTTTCTTGTTATCCATTCTCTAAAACTTCTCCACACATCATTTATCTTCAGTGTTATACCAGGATTAAGTGGATCCTAATCTGGGGTCCAAGCAAGAAACAATAGCTCCTCTCACTGTGACTGCCTGAATACAACAGTTTAAAATCTCTGGTCCTGCAGAAATGACGTCATTCTCACACTGAAGTGAAGCAAAAGATGAAAATGGAGGTTGTCAGATACTTTTGGCCTCTCTTAACTGTGACTGTGTTTCAACAGCGTTAGCTTGTGGTGAGTCATCTGCCTCTTCATCAAGCGTTAGTGGTTTCTTAGTTCAGATCTCTGAGCGCTGCCTCCTGACACATTGAGGTGAACCTACTTCACTACCAGCCACTGCTAAACTTGGCTTCATATGAAATATGTATACAAGTATGTTGTTGCAGTAGCTTAACACAGTGATGAAGTCTGTAGCCAGACTGGTTGAAAGATTTTATACTGCACATATATATTTGTCTGTTTGTCTTATTACACTTGTGTGTTGCAGTCCATATTGTAAAATTGATCTTTGAGTCAATTTGGTTTATTGCTGGTTGACGACTTATCGTATGGTTCTGTTGAACTGAGCAGCAGGACCATCCCTGCAGCTGTCTTTCCACTGAATCGCACTGTCATTCTTCTAACTGTTGTTTAACTCATTCTTTATCACAATCATCCATCTATTTATCCACCCATCATGCTATCCATGCATAATCATCATCTTACTCGATGGTATCACTAATCTCAGTTGCATTGGTCTTGTGAGCCTCCTGCTGTTCTGCTGATCCCAGACGGAGAGATTAAAGTGATGTACTTGGCAGGGTCTCTGGCGGGGTCACAGATGATGAGTATCACCACTAGT